AGCTATACAGTAGGTGGCTGGTAACACGCATATTGTCATACCTATCTTTTCGATTGTTTTAAGACCTCGCCTGAAGCAGTGTAATCTGATAATATACCTTTCTTTTTTCATACTTCATCTGTCTTCACAGTATTTTTTTTTTTGCTGTGCAACTCCCATATTTCTAGCATTCAATTCGTTTCTTTCGTCTTCTTCTCCGAAGACGTAGCATAGTGACTGAGTAAGTCTCCTTACAACCTCGAGGATAGCCTTGATGTGGCATTTCATAGGACCTTGTTGTTGACTGCCGGAGAGAGGCAGGGGGCCGAGCTCGGATCTACGCACGCTGAGACGAGTATGACAACCACTCGGCGACAGCGCCCCCTTTTGGATCACTAGGTATAATGGAATAGAGCTTGTTGCATGCATATACATTTGCATATGTATACATATACATATACACATGTATATGCATGTATGTATATATATGTACATTTATAAATATATATGCATACAAAAGGGGGCGCCATGATCAAGTGTTGTGATGCTCGTCGAGGCGTGCGTGGGCCGAGCTCCAATCCAACCTCTCTCCCGCAGTCAACAACAACGTCCTATGAAATGCCACATCAAGGCTATGCTCGAGGTTGCAAGGAGACTTACTCAGTCACTATGCTACGTCTTCGGAGAAGAAGACGAAAGAAATGAATTGAATGCTAGAAGTAGGGGGATGCGCAAAGTGAAAAACATTGTGAAGACGGGTCAAATTTATACATATATATATATATATATATATATATATATATATATATATATTCATATAATATAAAGGCACCGTGCAACTGACGAGGCTGTTAGCCGAAACATGGGTTTTACACTGTACACGTGCACACAGCAGGCCTCATAAAAGGGCTCAAAATACATTGTCAGATTGTGTTCTTGTGTGAAGTCTCAAAACAGTCGAAAAGAAATTTATATTCAACGAAGCGCTTCTTGGGAGTGGTATGATGTTACAACTATAACTCAATGTAGAGTGATAAACAAGACCTTGAACCTCGAAAGGGATTAGAACCTGAGTCTCACCCTTTCCAAGAGTGCATGCTAAGTTATTCCACTATCGCGGCTCCTGTTTTATTACCATCTTTTCTGCAGACAATATTGACGGATGAGTAACTACAATAAAACCGCTGTCAACAAAAAGATAGCGAGGATACACTAGGAACTTAAAATGTAAGCAAAAATTAGGCTGAAGAGTAGGGCATTAACCTTTTAAGAACCGCACTTGACTGATGTGGGCACGCAATTTCCCTTATAATTCGGCTTTCATACCTATTGAAGAGAATATCTCGAGGCTTTCGCGGTATTTTGAATCTTCGCATTTCCTGTGCATATGAAATTCATACGTGCATATAAAACTCGAGTGTTCGGGGTCGCCTCCTCTTCAGTCTTATAACCCTCTATAAAGGCCTTTCCAAAAATAAACCCAGTCTCAAAACCATCGAGATTTCAGCTATCGAATAAGTGGTAAAAGTCAAGCAGAAAGCCAAACACAAATGCCAACCATGGGAACAATGCAAGACGAGAGTGCAACGAAATTTTCTTCTGGCTATTATAGTGCACTAAGAAAATCATTTTAGATACTAAGCACAATATAAAAGTCGTTGTTTTTCAAGCTATCGAATGACTAGCAAAAGTCTGATCGGAAAGCTATGGCTAACGAAAAAGATCTCAGATAGATTATGGTAAGAAAACAGCTCATGATTTCCCGAAATGTTTGGAAGCCTAAAAACGATGATCTGAAGAAATACTGAAAAATTTGGAAAAATATCTAAAATATACTTTGCACGATTATTTTCAACTATCAACCTTTCCATATGTTTCCCATCTTCAAAAATCCAAGTGTTTTTGTGACTTTTCTCGCCTTGAAAATTTCTTGAACTAACATTCAGGACATAATTTTGTCCAATGTTCGACCAAAAACTTAGTTAACCCTTATGGGACCGTGGACCCACGGCCTCAGCGTCTCTATCCTTCAACGGGTTGCGCTTGACAACGGCGTCTAACCCCCAGTGTGCTGCGCCTAACAATGGCAGACGTCATTAAACGCCACTGTTTAACGCAACACGTTGAAAAGAGCCGCAGAGGTCGTGGGCCCACGGCTTTCTAAGGGCTCAAGAATCTCAGTCCAGAAAAAAGGTCGCCATAAATTCATATGCTCAAATAAAGTACAAGCGATCGCTAGAAGGTTCAATATGGTAATGAAGGCACTGACTAGTGCTCAAATATATTACGTCATTTCCTATTTTAGCGAAAGTTCGAAATTCCTCTTGCTAGAGGAAAATGGATTATATTTATCAACCTGTTTTCGACCACTTATAGAACACCAATTTCACCACATTACTTCTAGACCTGGTACTAAAAACAGTATAAGAATATAAGGATAATACAAATCATGGCACTAGCCTCTTTTTCTTTAGTGCTCATTTTCTTGTCGTTTGCATATTTCTGGTTGATTTCTCTATCAACAGCAGAGCCACGTTTCATTACTATCCTGAAATAAACTACTTGATATAAGAAATGAATAAAGAGTACAAAAAACCTTACTGATGCTTCAACAGCCTCTTCTGATTCTTACAAGCCATAGATAGGAAATACGTTGACGCTACGGCAGAAATTACCCACACAATCCATGACTCAGATACCTGAACGAAAAGAAAAATAGCTACGTCCAAAATTATAGCGGATTAGGTTCTCGGCGTGGAACAATCTGAGGGATGCGCCATAGATTCGACTATCAAGCATCATTAGGGGGGGGGGGGGGGGGGGGGGGGGAGGGGAGGGAGAGGTGACTAAATGCATATCTCGTCTTGAAAATCATTCGCGATGGCCTAACAATGTAAGAAATCGGTGCTGCTATCCTCCTAGACAAGTCTGGTGCCGATTCGCCGATCCAGGGGAGAACTGAAGGCCTGGTGAGCGTTAGGAGCGAAATCGAACCATCGGCCACAAATGTTTGGCTGAGCACCTTTAAACCGCTGCGCCACACGCTCTCGTAGTCACACTAAATCACATCCAAACTTCAAGCACTTTGCAGGATCCATTCAATCTAATTCCATGTATGTTTGGGCAGGGGGGGTTGCCCTGTTCATCTCAAAAGCACTACTTGTAGAGAGAGAGAGAGAGAGAGAGAGAGAGAGTCCTTCTTCTCCTCCTTTCTCTCTCTCTCTCTCTCTCTCTCTTTTCTCTCTTTCTCTGTTTCTCTCTCTCTCTTCTATTCCTCCTTCTTCTCCCTTCTTCTTGCAAGAAGAGAAAAAGAAGATGAAGGGTTCTCAAGTGAGAACAACTTATAGATCCTAAGAAAATCCTTTCCAATCATTCTATTCACTAGAAAAACATCCGATTCAAGTGAAGAACATTTACAGGGAGACCTAACTTCCGTGAAAGAATAGAAAAACACTCAAAATCAGAGATTCCTACCTCCATTTGATGCACTCCGTAAAAGAGATAAAGCGGTGCAAGTGAAAGCACAACAGCATTGAGGTAGAACAAGGCATTACTTCGAGCTGAATTTGCAGGCGAATAGCTGGACAGTAGAACTTCTTCCTCCCTTGTGAACTTTCCCATCGCTTCACAATCTCCTTGATGACCTTGACTTAAACGATTCTAAGAAAATCCAGTTGCCGGATGATCGAATAATCCGCGAAAAGGCGAAGAAATATACAAAACATGGCGCATACGTGGAAGAAAGGGATAAAGGGAGAGCGAGATGTGACAAAACTTCGAGAAAATCAAGAAACAACATTTTCTTGGAAAAGTAGTGACGAAACGAAAATGATGTCTGAGAACGTCCTTTAAAAAAGAAAGAAAAAGAGAGAGGGGAGAGAGACGGAGAAAAAGAAAGAAAGGAAGAAAAGAAAGAGAGGAAAAAAAGGAAAGAAGGGAAAGAAAGAAAGGAAGGAAAGAAAGCAAAAATTGTGGAGGAAGAAAAAGAAGGAAAAGAAAAAAAAAGAGGAAAGGAAACAAAGGAAAGCAAGAGAAGAAAAGAAGGATAAGGAAAACGCAAGATTCACGTGTAACGCGTGAGGTGGACACGTGAACTCCTGAAGCGACACTTTCCTACATGTTCATATGCTCGAAAATCGATAATCATCACCTCAGCAGCTCATGTGGCCGCCTCAACCTGAGGCACGTAAACTGGCCAAAGACCGCTTTGATCGCAGAAAGTACTTCAACTTATTTACCGAGATGTGTTGCACAGAAAAGGTCTCTTCAGGATATATGCACAGCGTTGGAATCATAAACGATTACGCTATCGAATGATTGCTAATAGTCCAAAGAGAGAGCTCTAGCCGGCGAGATATAAGCGCGTCTGCAGCGTGGTAAATTTCCCTCCGTAGTAACGTTGAAAAAAGGCTTTTTGGAAAACCGCTCACATGGGGCTGTAGCCTGATGTCTCACCTTTAGAACGGTAACCAACACTCCTATGAAAAATGCCTTTCCAGCGACTGAGATCGGTACTTCATTTGAACTCTCATAACCGCAAAGAATTCAGTTTTCCATATCTTCCTTCAGTCAGTGACACCTGCGCTCTCCAGGTGGTCGGAGCCAAAGGTAGTCAATGAGTGGATCGTGCGTCGAGAGAGGTGTGGTGCCGATTTCCTCTATGGTTTATCAGGGTTCCTATCAAAATGACAGGGTCATCAAAGGCATAGTTGAACCGTTGGACGGTTGACTTCCGCGGACCCACCAGCGTGGGAACGGCCTCACCTCCTCTACCATGATTGGTCGCCGACTACAGTGCATTTTTCAATGCGACGCCGCAAGCTGATTAGTTCAAAACTTAGCTGCGGTTCTTGCACCGAAAACTAGTACTGCAATCGGCGACTAATCGAGGCTGAGGAGGTAAGATCCTTCCCACGCTGGAGGGCACGCCCAGTGTAGGTCCGCGGAAGTTAACTGGTTACGGAATGGCTGCTGACGGCTTCGATATTCAATATCGAAAAGAGAGTGGTAGTAGAGCGGTGGCCTCGGTGGTGTAGCGGTAGCACGCGCCCTTGTGACGGGTTTAACGTGGGTTCAGTCCCGCCTGGGGTTGTATATCTTGCATACAACTCAGTATCTTTGGATATATATCTGAAGTAAAGCCAGTTAATGTCAATCAGTAATTACAAAGTAATTTTTTAAAAGGAAAATCACAGTTATTGGTACTTCAACCTGGTTTTATGACCAAAACACATCTCTCAAAAAATGATAGGAAAACAAACGAAAAAAAACCTTTGTAAAACACTAATCTAAGTCCAAGCAACAAAGTTATGCCATGGATCTCACGAGCGACGAGAATAAACCCTTTGTTAAAAGGTAAGCTAAAGTTGGAAGAAGGCGGGATCGAACCATCGACCACGCGCGTACTGTGCGGAGAGCTCTAACCACTTCGCCATACACCAGCCACAGATAAAGCAGTCGAGTAAATGAAAGCGGTTGCTTTAGACAAGAAACCAACGTCAATGACCATAAAATATAGTGGACTTGGCCGCCGGAGGATGCTGTTCGCCGTAGTTTTGCGACTGCGTAGCAACCCATTTCATGTGCGATTACGGTGCCTTCATACAAGTTAAAGGGTTCCAGGTAGTCGAGCTACAATGAGTCTGGCGCTTTGCCAAATATGCACCACATAGTTTGAATGGGTGCCTCTGAGTGGTCCACTGTGGTCTCTTCAGTCTCCTATGTTTCAGAGTCGTTTGCTAACCCGTTGTTGACCCATAAACCCTAATCCATCAATCACACATAACCCATAACCCCCCCTGTCCTACGGAACAACCTACAATTTTCTACCCTATGAATAACCCATAACCCTCTAAATCTCAGGTAACTCGTAATTCTGACCCATCAATCACCCACAACCCATAACTCCTTTAATCCATTGGTCTGCCATAGCCTCGTAACCCATTGGTAACCCATAAAGTCCTGAACCGTTAGTATACTATGGTGAGCGCGAGTGCTGTAGTGGGTAGAGGTGCTCTGCGGCGCTCACAAGGTCGTTGGTTCGATCTCGCCCTCATGGCTTACCGAGCTGTATATCACTCCAGGGTCTGGTTAAATTGGTTCTAGAATTGAGGTGTGTTTGTTGATGTTTCTTTCTATCTTGTGGTCATTTTTCTCTTTGTTCAACGGTGACTCCGACTAAGCCATAAACCCTAATCTTTCAGTAACACATAACCCGTGACCCTCCCCCTACTGGTATTTATAGCTCCCTTACCCATGTATAACCCATAGTCCTCTAACCCTCTAACTCACTGGTAAGTCATAACTCCCTGACCCATTCACAATCACCCATGACTCCACACCTGGCCTACTGGTAACTCACAACACTGACGCATCAATAAGCCATATCCCATAACCCATAACTCCCCTTTCCCAGACCTACTGGTAACCTACAACTCCTCAACTCATAAATGACCCATAACCCTCTAACTCTCTGGTAACTTATAACTTCTTGACTCATTCGCAGTCACCCATAACCCCCAACCCACTGAATTCTAAGGGACGTGTACCAGGTGAGGTACACGATTGTTTGAAGCCCTTTCTCGCTGGTCAAAGCCTTTCTGTCGGGCACTTGCTAGTCATTCGAAAGCTTAAATCTCTGCAATTTCAACAGTGTATTGATTTTTCAGATAAGCTTTTTTATTACGTTGTTGCAGCGAAAATAAATTTATGCATCACACTTGGTTTGCTTTATTCGCCCGGCTGGGGTTTGTATATGGCTCTTTGCCAAATTCTTATTGGTCATTCGATAGCCCAAATCTCGACGATTTCAATGCTGTAATTGGGGTTTTTAAAGGTTATCATGGAACGCTGTAAGAGCGAAGAGAAGATTACGTTTCGCAGTCATAGTTTTCAATGTGCGGAAAAGTTATATATGCACGAAAAACATATGGCCGCATAGAGAAAATCATGGTGTATCAGAGTAACAGAAAAACCTAAAGTTCTGCTCTATAAATGGAGGAAAAACCCTAATTGAATTACGAAAATCGCGCGCCTTTTTTTGTAAGATGCACTGTGCGATCGATTAATTGCCGCCCCTAAAGGCTAAATAACCTATAATTCCCTTATCCATTGATCTCCCATAGCCTCCTAGCCCACTGATAACTTGTAGCTCTAATCCATGAGTTGTCCATAATCTCCTGACCCACTGCTAGCCATAGCTCCCTTTCCCATTGATCTACTACACCTCGCTGACCCATTGGTAACCCATAAATCCTAAACCCTCGGTGGTCCCGTGGTGTGTTCTTGTGTCGCTGTGGTTAGAGGTGCTCTGCGGTGCTCACAAGGTCGTTGATTCGATGTCGCGTTGTGGGTCTCCAAGCTATCTATCCCTCCAGGGTCTGCACTCTCTGTTGTGATCATTTTTCTCTCTGTTGAACTGTGACTTTGATTTCACTGGTTTTCTATCTCGTTACTTCTTACTGACCTATATGTAGCCCTACCGGTATGTGTATAGCGCAGTGGCTAGACACATACGGTAGGGTTACATATGTATTTATATATTCGACTCTGTGACACACGCGTGGTCGATGGTTTGATTTCCCGTGACAAAAGCTCATCAAGCCTTCCGTCCCTTCGGCTCGGCGAATTGGTAGTCCTGGCTTGTCTCAGGCACCCCTTAGGGATTTATCAGGATGTGAACTCTATCCTTTATCCCTCTCATCTCTCTCCTCTTGTTCCTTTACAGCTATATTGAAGACGTCCTCAATGTGAATGTCGGTTTTTCTTACGTTTTTCTCTCCCAGTTAATTCAAATTGTATTTTTTTGTAAGTTACAGTGTCCCTCAGGGGTTTGTTGATCAACCGCGAAGAGCCCCTCTTTAAGAGCTATTAATCTAAGTACAACGATTTCAGGACAGCAATGTCAGATACTGGACGTAGTCCTCGCCCAGGCGGTACTCAACTTAGGCAACGTCGCGGAGGCGGTAAGTCTTCTTGAGATTTCATCGGTCTTTCTTGCATCTTGTTCATCACAGAGTGCAACAGTTTGTAGAGTAGACTATCAAATTCCATAGGTTTCGTGGTATGATGATATAAAAACCCCTAGTAACGTAGAGTGATGCGCAAAACTTTAGCGTCAGACGGGACTCGAACCCGCATCTCACTCAATCCGGGAGCGCGTGCTCTAACCCGTTGCACTACTGTCACCCGTTTTGACATCACTCTACGCTACAGCATCGATTTGTTAATGAGTGGGCTCAATGTCGATACTGACTACCTAGGCCAACCGTTGACGGTTGGTTGCTGACAGATCGATGCATTGTAGCGTGGAAAGGGTGAGGACAAAACGGGCGAGAGTAGTGCAACGGATTAGACCACGCACTCTTCTCGGATAGAGTGTGCGGGTTCGAGTCCCGCCGACGCGAAAGTTTTGCACATTACTCTGCATCCTTTTATAAATCTATTTCTGACCCGTTTTTTCTTTAGTTCATTTGTTTTGATAACTGTCTACCGAAAATAATCTTCTAGAATGTTTTAAGTCTTTCTGAGGGCTGGTAAGGCATCTCTAGTGCTAGATTTCATTTTATTTTTTTATTTATTTAATTTAATCCTATTTTCTTTTCTCCTTTTTTCTTATTTTCTCACGCCTTATCCTTGCCACATGCCTTTCGGTTCACGCGTACAATTAGTAATGGCGCCAAGATATGTCATTTGACCGTAAGGCATGTGGGATTGATAAGGCTCCGAATACTCCGAAACTTACGTATATCATTAGAAATGCCTTTACCAGACCTTTGAAAGTATTAAAATATCCCATGAAATTATACCTTTATTTCGAGTGTTCGTTTAGACCACGCTCGAATTTAGTAAATCCTTTCATTATTATTTGAGCCAACTTATCATGTGGTCTGGTAAGGGCTCTTGTACAGCCCGATACAAGTTGGATGGTTTTACTTGACATGAGTGTAAAGCGTTCGTCTTCGATGACTCTCTATAAGGAGTGTGAGGCTCCCGAGAGAACTGACCATGAAAAATCGAAAGACGACGGGTTCTGCCCGGCTGACGAGTTTGTAAGGACGAAACACGTGTATCGGGCTGTACAGGAGCCCTTACTAGACCACATGACAAGTTGGCTCAAATAATAACGAAAGGATCCTATGAGATTATATTGACTTTCTGAGCGAGGTTTTGAAATAGTCGTTCGAAGGATATTGTTTGTCTATTGAAAATTGTTGAAGATGTGCAGAACCTCGAACCTCAGGCGGGAGTTGAACGCGCGTCTCACCTTCTCTTGAGACGCGTGTTAACCTTTGCGCTCCTGGGACTCTTGTTCTGCTGATACTCTTCCTCTAGTACAGAACAGAAGATATGTGGTTTATTTCGTCTTCATCCGTCCAAATCTATATGGATTCCCATCGTAGAAAATCTTCAGCGCTCACGGGCGATTGTGAATGTTTTTGGCTCAAGAGACTTTCAGTCATTTTGCTATTTCTCAAACTGTGAGGCAGGCTTTTCAGCGTTACTCGGTCTCTTGTATTGGTACCTTTATCAACTGGAGTAAGAGTGGAACTCTATGTTCGCAGCGATTACCCTTTTGTTGAAACATTATGAGAGGCCCTTTCTACGGATTTTGCGGTCTTGTCTGTGATTTTCAAGCGAGAGTTCCTTTCGTTTTTGAAGAATGTAGTAATCACGCGCAAGCTTTTTATAGAAAAATTCGTTTGTAAGGTTAAGAACTGAACGTTGGCTGCCATATTTTCATTAAAAAAAAACTCGTGAACGTTGTTCTTAACTTTTAAAGACTCGTTTTTTGTTTTGATATACCTATAGGTCAAGCTCAAAACCATCTAATTTTTATCTTCTTTTTTTTTCTCTGCCAAAAAATTGTAGTAGTTTTAGGAACGGCTGCTGCTTCATCGGGACGTCCCACGCGCGGGCAATAGTGGCGGACTTTGGCGTTTCTATACAGAGGATTCAACTGGATTGAAAATTGGCCCGGTGCCGGTGCTCGTGATGAGCTTAGTTTTTTATTGCCTCCGTCTTTGTTTTGCACATCTGGGGAAAGTTCACCCGAAGCCGTGCTTAGAAGAGTTTCTTTCTGTTTAATGGGT